CAGGAACTGGTTACTGGTTTTCCTACGTCAAACTTTCATTTTTGTTATAATTTAAAGAGTATGGTGTTGATTGCAGATCTTTGGATCATTGATAATTTCTTTACACTAAAAAGTCTTATTCACAATTTAAAAGACGATATTAAGTTTGACACTGTCTGTTATTGAAGACAATATATTAACCCCCTGAGGTTTTTTGATTTATTTTGTTGCTGAGTTGCTGTCTCATTGAAGTATAATAAAAATTCAAATAAACATTTAAAATCAATGGTTCACATTATTGAGACAGCAAACAACATTTAACAATAAGAAGGCAATATATATTCTTTTCAATAAATAACAAGCTATATATTGTCCAGAATCTATTAAGGTTCGGTAGAAATTAAACAGAAGCAATCAAAGATATACTATCCAAGCTCTACGCCGTGCCACTTTTCCAAACAATATAACCTAAATCTTCTGTCTTGTTTTTTTCCTCTTCTTTGATTCCATTCATTTGAATCTGAACGAGAAGAAAAGTTCTGCAGTTTCCACAGAGACCATTTAATTGTCCAAGATAAATGGCATTATGTTATCGCCTTATGGTAAGTCTTCCTATTTAACACTGATTAATTGACAATAGATAACCTTCCTGTTTGCTGACTACTTTACAATAGTATCGGTAATGAGAAGTAACCGAAAGAGGAATAAAAAAACGTCACTTGACGTTATAAACGGCTAACCATAATCTTCACGATTTTTTTTTATCTGAAATAATTCTGAAAGAAGACGTGTCATGATACATGAACAATATATTGACAACGTCCTTCCATTTGATTGAAATCTGTGTTTACTTACAGTTGGGACAACTGATAAAGATGCTAATAAATACACAAATTACACTACCAACATATATTTTGGGAGATTCGACCAACTGCCTACACACAAAGTAACATCTATGAAGAGGAATAAGTACCTTTACTACTTTTTTTTAGCAAGACAATGACAAAATCCAATAACTACCCTAAACATTCAACAAACCTTTATATCAATGAACCTGGCTTATCTGATTATAGATCAACAAATAGCAACCGAAACTATTTGTGTCTGAAATTAATGGAAAACAAAATCGGTATGCTTAATAGTCCTAAGGCCATTTATTTGATCGGTCTTTAAGGATGTACTTAGGTGAGGTTATGGAATAAGTGTCAAATGTTCGGACTCCTCAGTGTTTTTCCATACGATACAAGGTAAAATATTTTGCCCCACAACACCTATTTATCTTTTAACATAAGACTTAATAGCTCATAAATGGTCATTTGACAAAATTTAAGCAGATTCTTGATTTTCTTTCTTTTGATTTGAGACCAAAATAATACCAATGCAAATATAAGGTAAAAGTACGAGTCAGTCTTTTACCGCCATATTTTATAAATCAAATATCTCGAAAAGGAGCTCCATGACCTATCAATATTTTTAGCTTATTTTTATCCTTAACTAATACTCTTCCAGCTTAAAGTATCAATTTTGAATTCTTGATTTATTTAATTTTATCTTAGATCACCTAAGTACATCCTTAAAGACAATAAATAGCAATAAATAATAAATAATATTCAATCTCATGAACAAATTTGAGGAACATCTATTGTGGATAATTCATTCCTGTTCAGATATAGTGCTTGTGGTGCTTTAGATCAGGCTATTAAGGTTATTTTCAGAATTTACAGTTCCAATTTGTTTTACCTTTACTTAATATGACTGTTGTTATACATTCGTTTGATGTGTTTGAGCTTTTGATTTTGCCATTTGATTAGGGACTTTCCGTTTTGAATTTTCCTCGAAGTTCGGTATTTTTGTGATTTTTCATTTTAATAGTAAAAACTGACTTGCCTGATAAATTATTAAACAAAACTAGATTGACTGAAAATGTCTGAATACAACTGAACTTGCTGTCAGGCATATACCTGAATAACACTTACAAATCAATCTAAACAGATTTAAGATGTTTAGGTTCCCGTTTAACAAAATGTCAAATCAAGTGGCCGTTTCAGACTCAAATTCATTTAATGGTGACTTGAAGCAAACTGTCGATACACAGTAAAGACAGGATATCAACAGCAATGGCGAAAGATGTGTACACAAATGAAACAGATAGCAAAATATACTTCCAATAAATGACACTGGATTTCAGTCTGTTAACATTTAGCTATTGAAGGACAATAAAAGAAGCCATGTTTTCATATTTGTATTGTTTATATGTATATGAACAACAGAGGTTTTTAAACAAATGATGTGAAAGCAAAAGGTATTAAGCTCTATAATGCCGACTTTATTACATAACAAATAGGAAATCCCCATAACCACAACACATAATGTTTGTCATTTCACTATTATGCTTTCATATGACTTAATTCATTTAATCCATAATCTCCATTTTTTTTGTATTATGCAATTTTGATAATAACTTATTTTTCATCCATTTCTGTCAGATGGTTAATTTCAAATAGAAGGATTTATTTCTTTTGTCAAAGGTTGAATTTGTATTACTAGTACTGTTATTGTATTACTAGTACTGTTATTGTCATATTTTTGTGTTTCTAATGCAATTCAGTTCTTTTTGTTCAATAAAGTTTTAAAAGTTAAATTGTCTACATATGACTTGAGATATTACTCTATATAAATTACTCTAAATATCAGCACAATAATGTTAAATCTGCAAATTTGCGGAAGCAAATTTTTGTTCTTCGATCGCCGGGATTCGAACTCATGCTATTAAGATATCGAGACAACACCGCCTGCATATATAATATATATATATATGTGTATATATAATGCTTTATGTGTTACATCTGTCTCGTTTAACACGTGCTTACACATTTCTGTTTAAGAATCATCTGACAGAAATGGATACAAATAAAATCAGAAATACAAATATACAAGATCTAAAAATATCTTTAGCACATTTGTATTGAATTGCGTAGTATGTAATTTAAAAAAGAACCTTTTATTTGTTTTGTTTTGTTTTACAAATGAACAAAACACACAATTATAGAGTGTTTTTTACTAAAATATTTGCAAACACCAGACATATAACTTTTATATCAATCATAAAGTAAAAATAATCGAAAGCTGCATTATCTTAATATTTTTCTAGTCACCAGTAAGACTGAACACGTTTTTTGAAATTGATTCAGAAATGCTCTTTCAATCTCGATTTAATTCATTGAATCATGTTTTAAATGTAGTGTTACATATTCACACCATAATTGACCAAAAAACATATATTTTTTCTACCTAAAATCTAAACTATTTGTAAGTGCATCATTTCTTTAAAATTCAATTTCAGTAAAAGGAGAAGTCAAAAGTCCGCAAAATCGTTTATGCGAGTGATAGGTTTAGCTAGCTATAAAACCAGGTTTAATCCACCATTTTCTACACAAGAAAATGTCTGTACTATGTCAGGAATATGACAGTTGTTATCAATTCGTTTGATGTGTTTGATCTTTTGATTTTGCCATTTGCTTATGGACTTTCCGTTTAGAATTTTCCTCGGAGTTCGTTATTTTTGTTATTTTAATTTTTATATCCAAAGGTTATTTATTGTTTCAGTATAGACTCATTTCCCCAATTTTTTTCTTTTAAAGATTTACATCATAGGCTTAACAGATGACTCTACGCATAAAGTAGCATCTATGAAACCGAAGAAAAGTGTTAGAATATCAATGGTTGTGTGTTTCTCTCGGTCAATTTATTCATATCGTCAACAAATCACATCTGTACCTATTGATATTTCGGGAAACCTAGTTTTTATAGTACCAAATTGTGTTATGTGTCCCTATTTGCAATAGAGCAGTTGATATGATATATAAATTCCATATACTCACCAAGCGCTGAGATCTAGTGGCGCTCCTCCTCTTTGTCTACGAACTAGCATCACGTGAATGAAAACTGCCAATAGAACTTCTTTGTTAAGTACAACATTTCGGAAATCATCGGTTGTTGTAATACAATTGGTTCCATCATCAAATATGCCAAAAAGTTCCAATTGTCGACAGCAGACCCTACGACGTCTGTCGCTTTCCTCACACTGGCCACACTTGCACCATGATTGGTCAACCGTATCCGACCTCTCAATCAGAACACGTCCTTCTGCGCATGCCTCACCATTGGTCTGTGGAGTAAAGATTTCCTCCGTCGTATTTTAGTGAAAGTTCATGATACAAAGAAGCCATTTAGATAAATTCAATTTTTTTTTCACGATGGGGAAATTGATTACCATGCGTTTGTTTCAATTAGGTATTTCGACATAACTTCAGACATGCAGATAGGTTGCATAATTAACTAATCTGTAAGAAAACCTTATAATAAACTATAAATTGCTATACTGAACCATCAACCTAACAAGGAGTAGTGTTAGTACGGTTTTTAATTTCCTTTAGTTGTTAGTTGGGTGTTAGTATGTTTAAAGTTCAAACTATTGTCACCTACGTATAAAACAATGATAATGAGGTATTTACTTCCTCGTGCGACACCACGTATATAAATGCCATTGAAAATTTATACTGAATTAAAGATCAACACACCTCGTTATGATTTTTGTAATTTATTCTAAAGGTAAGCGTTGAAACCAGTAAAACCAAACAATGGAAAGTATTTTAATCTTGCCATGAGAAAGAGTGAATATGAGTACAATATGTCTTATGTTGACCTTTAATCAGACGATGAAATTTTCAATGGTAACTATATTCCATGTACCTTTTTCAAATTTCTACAAGACTGTTAGATAATAAAGGTATTCCTTTATTTCTCTATATGCAACCTAATACAAAGAATCAGTTAAAATTTGAAATGGTAAGAGGGTGTACTTATTTAGGAGGGAAAACTCTGTTATTGGTTATAATCTATTTTGGAGGGACTGTATTGAGGATCAGTATTGATGGGTGTTTTATAAATTCGGAAATACACAAAGTGCAAAAAGAAGAGAGTAACATATAACTTGAATAAGAGCAGCTCAATACAATTACCTCAGTTGATGAGCGTTTATGAGTATCCTATGTCAAAACAAAATGTTAAAAGTTTTACACATATATGCAACAGTGACGTTTAAATTGTATGTTTGAACATAATTTATCTTTTATGAAATTTCATCTTACTAGCATGATTTTAAAAAATCAACTTTGCTTAATTTCTTCAAAAAAGCTATCAAATTTTAATTGATGAAAATCTGATCAAAATAGTTTATATTCCACATCTCATGTGGATTCTGTCATTTCAAATCGTTCAGGTGTGAATAGGCTCTTAATTTGCCTTTTCAGAATCTAATGCATTATGGGTTATATTTACAAAAGAGTACACAAAAAACGTAGAAATTGGTTTAAAACATCATATTGCTATTCCTTCATCATAAGATCTAAGTAGATAAGCTATGAGTATTTAAGTCAAAATATCTACAAAATTTAATTTGACAAAAATTGGACTGTCTATGGTTGGTAAGATGAAATGACAGAATCCACATGATTCGTATTGTATAAAAAAAATTACAAGGTGTAAGTACATGTTTTAGGTAGAGATATTTTACACAATTTCTTCGAGAAAAATGATAATGACAAAGATTAAGTTATTAGTATTATAAGAAATTTCATTATCATTAATATGAAAGACAAATAGATATAAGAAGGTGTGGTATGAGTGCCAATGAGACAACTCTCCATCCAAGTCACAATTTGTAAAAGTAAACCATTATAGGTCAAAGTACGGCCTTCAACACGGAGCCTTGGCTCACACCGAACACCATCTATAAAGGGCCCCAAAATGACTAATGTAAAAGCATGTTATCTGTTATATTGTTTTCATAATTAAGCAAGCCAATTTATAGACATTTTATGACAGACCAAGACGAAAAAGACATTTAATTAAACGTCCTGAAATAGGAGAATTCATTGCTAAACAATATATCTAAAGCTTCCTAAAAGGAATGGACAACGCCTCAGTGAAAGTTCTGTATGGTTGACACTGCTTATAATAATTATTTATGATTTTTTTTGGTTTGATATAAAGAAAGTTTTATGAATTATACCAATCCATTCAGAGAATGACGAAGTCAACGACTGTTCTTGCAGCGCTTGGTTCGTTTTCTTTGATCAGGATTACAGCGCCAAACGTGTACAAATACTTTTGGAGCATTATAACTAAGAATTGTCAAAAGGGAAAGGACAAAGTCCTCTGTGGTAAAAAGTACGTAAAGGAATGAGCAAAGTCTTCAACACTTACCATTACTTAAAGGAATTTGCAAAGTCTTCAACAGTTACAATTTCCAAAAGGAATGGGCAAAGCTCTCTATGGTAAAAGTTGCTTAAAGGAAAAGGGAATTGGGTAGAGTAAAACAGACCACATACGCTCTGACTTTTTCGGGGGCAAAATGTTTGTAATACTAGTACATCATGATTATTTAATAAGAATTATCAGCCAGGAGGACCTCACCCTCTGTGATTCACCGAACAGCTGTAGTTAAGGACTTTTTAAGTTTATTTATTTCATTATATTTTGAAGTCTTGTTGATAGGTGTTACGTTACTTATATTCACTGTATTACCGTTTAGGTTCAAAGTCTCTTCAATTATGTATACCATCAACCTTTTAAAGGAGAAAGTGCATTTTCGATTAAGGTCTTTAACTAAAACAGAAATCTAGAGATGGCCTCGAGATATGAAACTGGAAAATGATTAGATATACAACGTCAGTTTAAGGTTAACCCAACATAACGCCTTAGACGCTTAGATAAAGTACAAGTTTTTAATTCGGATTGATCTCGTGATTTCTTTTAATACGTAATTTCCTCAACAGATGGAGTTACTCACCCTGGTAAGACTGAGCGTACTTCCTTGACGACGGAGTTTTTTGTCGTTTTCCATCGTGCCAAACATTATATCTTCCCATTTGACTCTCCAATTCATTTCAGCCAACTCTGCTTCTAATTTGATATGTCTGAAATTAAATGGAAATAAAGGGTCAATATTCATGAGAAAAAAAGAAAGGATGTAATGATAAAATGAAAGTTAAAGCAAAAGAGAATTCGAAAAGTAGCTACCAAGTCCTTAGGGGCAAATCTAAAAAACCTACAACAATATGCTACTGAATTGATCAAAATTTCGCATGGAGTATTAATAGTTATCAAAGGTACCAGGATTATAATTTAATACGCCAGACGCGCGTTTCGTCTACACAAGACTCATCAGTGACGCTCAGATCAAAATAGTTATAAAGCCAAACAAGTACAAAGTTGAAGAGCATTGAGGACCCAAAATTCCAAAAAAATTGTGCCAAATACGGCTAAGGTAATCAATTCCAGGGATAAGAAAATCCTTAGTTTTTTTTCGAAAAATTTAAAGTTTTGTCAACAGGAATTTTATTAAAATGACCATATAATTGATATTCATGTCAACACCGAAGTGCTGACTACTGGGCTGGTGATACCCTCGGGGACGAAACGTCCACCAGCAGTGGCATCGACCCAGTGGTGTAAATAGTTATCAAAGGTACCAGGATTATAATTTAATACGCCAGACGCGCGTTTCGTCTACACAAGATTGTCATAAATGTAACATTTTAACACTATAGTACAACGACACTAATGAGGTGCTGGGTGGGGTTAAGACAAAGCGAATAATGGGCCAAAATATGTAAAATAGAGAAATTTGGGCCAACCCAAAAAAGAATAGAAAATAACGAAGTGCTGAAAGGTAAAGAATAGAGAAAAATGGTCTACAATATTCAGGATTACAGGAAAGAAGACCCAAAAGGAGACCCTCACTTATGAAATCATACAGAGAATGTTAAGAAATTTGGGTTCAAACATTGTAATGGTCACGTGTTAACCAGTTTAATCTAACTGGTGCACAATTTTCATCCTTGGTTCCAATTGTAGCTATTTTCCGAAATGCAGTTTATCCATTCCTAGTAGATAACAAACATCTCTTCAATTTGATCGGTGCCCAACTTCTCGTAAATTGAAGACAAATAAAATGGTACATCATCAAATTAAATAGCTGCAAAAAACTGAAGTGTAACAGTTTTAAAACCAAACTTTACAAAAACAATTGCTTTTCATTTCATGTTTGTTTTTTTATTATTATGCAAATTCCGTTTTTACACAAAAAAAACTGCTCTAACAAAACAATAAGGAAGACATCTGAAATCCGCACTGATAGGTTTGTCGATCACCATCACAAATTGGTTGACCGATACGATATGTCTGTGTCTCAACTCACTTGCGACTAATCCCTTATTTTAGCGATTTTATCCAAAACCCCATTGTGTGATATCTAAACTGAATGTGGATTCACGTTTCGGGTTATGCATACATAGCAGGAGACGCTTTACCTGTCGACGCAACAGGTTTCGCTCCTTTTGGAAATTAAATTATTCTCTCATTTTTTGTTTGTTACCTTGATTTTTCTTCTTAAGGATGTTCGCTACTCTGTTTCAAAATAACAAGCTTTTTCAAAGACTGTTATAAATTGATAGTATATAAATAAAGAAACTAAAAAAGCAGAAAAAAATGAAGGGTCCGTGTGCTTGTTTTCGAGATATAAGCCATTGGCGGGAAATAATTCTCTCTAGATTTTTCATACATTTAACATTGGCACCTTTTTTCTTTCATAAACCATGAAAAAATAACAAGGATTTTATAAGATTTTCAAAGATGACACTATGAACTATATGTAATTAAATTTTGAAAAGAAAAGTAGGGATTTGCGGGCAAAAATTTTTAATGGCACTACATGGATAAAACTAGAGGATTCCGAATATCTGACAAAAAGTCAAAAACAAGAGTAGCAAACATCCTTAATCGGTTTTTGTGATTTTACTTCTCATTTATCATCGGTAAACTACTGGTGAGTTATTAAGCAATACTTTAACAATGAGAAAACATTCCCTGTTTGTGCTTCCTATTAGGATTTCCTTGATAAACAGGTGTTGTTTTCACTGAAGCTATTGAACAAAGGGTTTTTAACGGTGAAATTGAAGTCAATTGCCCGAAAAGTTTACGGACGCCATAAAGATTTTTCATATATTGTTATCACATGATCCTGTCTTTATTCATTTTGTCGATGTCACAATTCCGTATTCGTTTGATCGGAAACTACATTCTCGAATGCGATTTCTCATCGAATTTTGACACGTATTGCTCTTTTTTTAATAACATACTTTTAATGGTTTTTTCTAAACGCAGTACGATTGTTCTGATTTTTAAGTACATTTTGATTTCCAAGTGTTGCCATTTGGTATAGTACATTGTAAATTGGATATTTCCTACCATTTTAGACTATTTTCAAGACAGACATTTTAAAACTAATATTCTGAAATAAAATGTCATAATCAAATTGTTCACAATTCAATATCAAAAATCTTTTAAGAAATATAAAAAACTAAATTATATTTCATCATTTTAGGTAGCTTTAAGCTGTTTTTGATTAGTCTGGCGATAAAAGCAACCTTCTATGAAATATTGAAATGTCAGTCAGTAAAGGTTTGTCAAATATTAGTTTTGTAGCTAGGTCTTAAAATTCATTATTTACATGAAAATCAACAAGAAATTGGTTTACTCGCGTCATACACAAAGTCATATTGAATTAATAAAATGTTTTTTTCTCAGGAAAAATATCCAAGTTAACAAAAATTATTTAAATAACTAAAATAAATAGATGTATATTCACATAAACAAGAAGGCATGATCGGGGATAACCACATTAAACTGAAAATAAACCTCCCCAAACCTAAGGGAACAGTGTAGACAAGGTTATGGTTCCTTCATCCTCCAACATCTTACTGTATATACGTTAAAGAGGTTTTTGTAGCTAAGCTCCTTCATGTACCTAGGATGTTGGTGGGTGTCAGGTTTCTATAGATTTATTGTGTGTATGTTCCTCGTTTATTGTTTTCTCTCGGCCTTGTTGTTCTTGTTACTTACGGTGTCTGATTAGCCCTTGGTATCTTCTCCCACATTTAAACGCGTTCGTCTTATGATTGTGACCAGTAGTAAAATTCATAATAAAGATACAAGGATTATAATTTATCACGCTAGAAACACGTTACGTCTCCATGTGAACGATCAATGATGTTCGAATCAAAGAGAATAAAAGTCATATAAATAACGTATTTGGAGAGCAATGAAACCCAAAGTGCAAAACAGGTGTGCAAAATCGTGCTAGGGCAATCTTTACGTGGGCGATACAAATAAATTCTTCAATTTCTTGCATGAAAACCATTAAATATTTGTTTCCATTTTTTTATTCTTTTTATAAATTGAAACAAAAATCCATTGAAATAGAAATATAAAAAAGAAGATGTACTATAATTAGTAATACTTCACACATCATTATAAGAATTCCCACAGCGATGATCATAATTCATACCTCGAGCGATAATTCAAAATTTCATTCAATTATACAGTTCATTATTGCCTAATTAATATTCAAAAGATAATTTAATAAAGTGTCAATATCAAGCTTTGAATTACGTATTGCATAGGCTATTTACAACAGTAATGGAGGCTGTTTGGAGCTGGCTAACTTCCTTTAATAAACTACAAAGGAATTTTTCATCAGCAGAAAAGGATATGCGTTTATGATTCATTGATTATTGATTTTTTTATATTTGGACGCCACTTTCATCACTATTGGTTATTTCGTGACGGTCAGATTTTACTTTTGGAAGAAGTTGGAGTGCCCGGAGAGAATCACGAAGACGAAACGCGCGTCTGGCGAAATATTTTGTAATCCTGGTATCTATGATGAGTTATTTATAGAACTCACAACTTTTCTATCTAAAAAGCTTTTACTTAATACGAATGTCGTTTTGAATTATTTTTCGTAATTCTCATTTTAAACTAAATGTGTCAATAGTTAGAATATTGTGAAGTAATTGACAGATTGACACCCATCAATTATCTACCAACACTCCCACGTCTAACTAAAACAATTCATTTATTTGCTAAATTACTAGGAATCAGTCACTGTGATTAAAACTGTCAATTTTTTTAATTTTAAGAAATAATTTTCGTTCTTCAAATCATTTCATGTTAATTGAATGAAACTGAATTTGAGCTGACTTGAATGATAAATTTATCAAAATTAAAATGTGCCAATACTTGTTAAACTTTTTACACTTCCATGACAGAAAAGCTCAAGGGACACTGTTGACTGAATTATGACAAAAATGTTGCACTGCCTTTTCTATCAAAATAAAAGAAAACGTTCGCAGTTGAAATGATATATAGTCGAGCTTTTCTGCTGTAACTTAGCGAGTACTAATACATTATATATTTTCTGACAATGACAGTAAAATCTATTCCTGACGCTTGAACATTTGATTGTTGAATTAAGTTATCGCGTGTCTTAAATATCATCTGAATGGGGTTTCATTTCTATATTCTTGAATTTTCATGCCATTTTTCACATTTCTCTATTTTTTCTTAGAACCCTTTTATTCTTTTCTGTGTCCATTTTTATATTCTTTATATTTTTTGGCCAGTTATTCTCTCTTGTATAGACTCCTTTCAGCCCTCAGAAAGAGAAAGGAACCTCTTCGGATGTTGTCTTGTGTCAAATCGTAAATGCATTTGTTATTTGATGAACATTATCATGATTATGTTGACGGCAGATCTTTTCTGATTAATATGTTCACAACTATTAGAGACTTATTCAGACGATGTATAGCTTGTTATATATAAGTATCGTCATCTGTCAATAATTATATTGTATTTTGCCCTCTATATGTATTTATGGTATTTTGTAGTTCAGGCTGCCCCTCATTGGCGCATTCTCGGTGGCCGAGTGGTCTAAGTAGTTACTACTGTAATCACTAGCCAGTCAACACTGAGGTTGTGAGTTCGAACCCCGCTCGTGCGGGTGCACCCGACTCCAATCTTAATTGACTAGGATTGTCAGTTTTCCTATCGAAGGTCGGTGGTTTTCTCCGGGCACTCCGGCTTCCTCCACCAATAAAAACTGGCCGCCACGAAATAGCCCAAAACCGGTGCTTAAAGTGGCGTTAAAACACCAAAAATCAAATCAAATCATTGACGCATTCCCGACATCTTTTATTCTTAACATAGTTGCAAGCTTAGTGATTTCGATACTAGGTCAATTTTTTTTTAGCAACAAACAACGAATATTACTGCATGTACGATAAACTTTCCACATTTCACACTTGTATTTATAGAAGTAATTTTCAATAATTAGAATACCACATTACAGAAGAAACTATAATTTGATATTAATGCCTTTAGTCAGTGTCTTTGGGTACATTGTAACATGCACTTTACCTAGTAAAATATCAACAAGAGAGTTAATTGGCACACGCATCAAATTTTTGGGCCGGAAGTATGGAGGTTTTTGGTGTAAAAAAGTGCAAAATGCTTTTTCTTTTACAAATTGTGACTTGGATGGAGAGTTGTCTCATTGGCACTCATACCACATCTTCTGATATCTATTACATAAACAATCTGTATATTGAGTTGACTTGAATCCTCATTTGCCAGAACTGTTCCAATCCAATTAGTTATGATAATGCTATAAAATATTACTAAATTGTACAGTTGATGAAATCGAATATCATTTAAGTGCAGTTGATGAAATGGAGTATCATTTAATTCATTTTCAAGTCTTGATTTTGAAACTCAAAATGAAATGTAGGTAAAGATGACCTTATTTTTTTATCAGGACCCTTGGGTTCTTCAAGACGCATCTATGAACGAACTCTCATGAACTATGACTTATACGTCCACAGATAGATGGACTTTAACTTTGTGACGGACATATGAAACACTATATCCCTTACCCAACTTCGTTTAACAAAAGATATAAAAATCTTAAACCAAACAAATGTCAAATTATTCCTCTCAGTAAAGGTTGAGAAACCCTCTTCAAAATGTTTTCATTTCTATTCGGTTTTGGTGAACTTTTAAAGTATCAACAAACAGACATAAAAAAATGGATGTAGCTTTGTATGATATTTAACAATGAATTCTGCTCAAACCGATGCGAGGGGTCAACTTGAACTTACTACCAGTTATGAGGAATATTGCTCATTGTTGAATGCCTTATGGTGACTTGAAGATGAAGGACAACAATAAAAATGTTCCATTTTGTGGTTATACCATGTATTGATATTAATATTGTCTCATGTACATTTACTTTATATCCCTTCATATTTTCATTGGGTATACGACAGACTAAAACACTGCTTACATACTACAACTCAAAATCAGAAAGCTTCAGACAGTATAGCAAATTGTTCTCTTCGTAACAGCTGAGAAATCCCTGACAAAATGTTTTTATTTCTGATTATACTAAGGATACATGAAAAATAGAGAAAAATGGCAATTAAAAATTTTAAAAGTTTAAGAAGTGACCCCCTTTTTTACCCAAACATTCATGTACATACCTTTTGTTTGGTTTTTTTTTATTAATAATGTAAATAAAATATTTGAACCTTTTATCCAGTTAAGACAGAAAAAATTGTGTCATGTATTTATATATATATGTATTTCCCTTTTGAGTCTGAAATAAATCAACATTATTATTATATTATCTTATTTATAATTTGGTTTGAATCTTAACTTTGATACACCAACCATGCCGACTCTACATAAACATTGATTCATTCTATGCTGTAAACTGCAGGTATATATTATCTTAAACATATCCTTGATAAATTAATAAAAAAAAAAAAAAAGTTTATTCTCTTGTTTCTCGCATATTAAAAAAAAGACAATTTAATGTATATTTCAAAATTTATTTATTCAGAATAATTGATATTGAGATTTTTTACGCTTAATTTGTTTGCTTGTCACTAAATTATTCTTCTTGTCGCTAATTTGTTTCTTCTTGTCGCTTCTTGACGCTTCTTGTCGCTTCTTGACGCTTCTTGTCGCTACTTGACGCTAAGTAGTGAGACCCTTTACGTTGAAAGTAAAGATATCTGTATTATAATTGTTTTTCTTAGTGATGAAAACTGTATATATAATAATCAAAATAGAATAAGAAATAACTATTTTGAGAATTGAAAACGCAAACTATAAATCATTTCCCATGTTCCGACGACGAGTTGTTGTAAGAACATGGTACCCTTTTTACATTTCTAAAAATAACCAGGTCAAATATGAGTCACGCATTCTGTGCATAAAAAAACAATGAACATTCATTGTTATAAATATATTTAAGTTTTTTTTTGGCATCTTCTTCTTTTATAAAAATTAATAAAAATATATTTATTTCAATTAGTACCTAAAATCTTTAATTTTGCATATACAGAAAGTAATATAGATCCGCAGATAATCATGTAACAATCTCAAACCCATATCATATGATGGACCGATTTAGTGTCGGCCCATAAATAGTAAATCAGTACTTGACGAGAACCGGAAGTTCTTTATATTACAATTGATGTCATTAGAAGAATAGGAACCACTGATTATTCTGAAGTATCTAGTATTAGCAGCTCTTTTTCGTGTGGTATTGTGTTGGGTCAATATTGAGGTTTTTGTTCGAGGTTCTGTGAACTATTGTTTGTCGATACTTAATTTCAAATTGTAAAAAAAAGCAAGTATCCACATAGACCAATTTCTTTGATTTGTTTTTATTTTTGATAATTGAATCGTCGTGTTACTTTTAAATTTAAATTGGTGTTGACTAATCTCCTTCGATTTATGTTTATCTGCCATCTTATGTGGGTATCATCTTATTTAACCATCTACATTTTTCTATTTTCGGTACCATTTATTGACTAAGGTTAACAAAAACCGATAGATATGTATGATTTGCATTGTAATTTTTGTATTGCTAAATCATCAAGCTGTGTATTCTCAAGTACCACGTAGTTTCAATAAGCCTAAAGACAGAACAATTATATTAATTTTGAAAAAGCTATTTATTGTTTTTTTCAATATCCACATTTGCTCGAGTTCTAAACTCTCACGCAACATCAAAAGAATCATGGATCACCCACTCTTGTTTAAAATAGCCTGCGGTTAAATGTATGACACGTCAAGAAAAGTCGTATTTGCACTAGTATCATCTATTAATTGGTATTTTTCTAAATATAAAGGATTTTCTACCGCAAGAATAGATTACCTTAGCTGTATTTGGCAGAATCTTTTGGAATTTGAAGTCATCAATGCTGTTCAACTTCGTACTTTACTTGGCCTTTTTAAACTTTTTTGATTCGATCGTCACTAATGTGTTTTTTATAGAGTTTATTTTTTTTAGTTATTGTTTATATGACTCTCGATCTCAATATGACAAATGTGTATTACAAACGCAAAACTGATTTTTAGAGTTATCTCCCATTACATAACTATTAATTCAAGACTCACCTGTATATAAAGAAAGCTGCTACAAGAACAATAACTAACAGTGAGCCTAGTACAATGATAACAATACCGTACTCCGGAAATGGTTCTGAAATTTAAAAAAATGCCGCCATTAATACATTTTAGTCTGGCTATGTTTTTTTTTATTAGTTTTATAACTGTATAATTTTTTTCTCTCGCCCTGAATATGTCAGAAATATTTGCTTCCGGACGCTAATCAAACAACGATTAATCAATCAAAGTGTATTGTTGCATTATTTTAGAAACCATTTTAATGACATAAAACAAACACATTTAATTTATTATATATACATTAAAATTGTCGAACGCGAAAGAAATAATTTATCATATTCGACCTTCTCTGATGAGGTCAAACCAATAAAATTATCGCTGTGCAATTCTGCAGACTTATCTGAAATTGAATCAAGTAAATAAACAGATCTATTTCAGTATATATCCAGTCAATAAGATTAGGTTGTATAAAGCTGTCAAAATGATAGATGTATTTTCAGAAACTCTAGTCTCCGTATTACCAAAATGTATGTTTCATGTCGATTTCTTTTATGAAACCTGTTAAAAAATAATTGTTATGTGCTGTTAAATGTCTAGTCGCGTAATTGTGGTAAAACTTGATTTTCAATAAAAACTTAAGGTAAATAAGTACCTTTGAAGTATTAGTAAAAAATTCAAACTTGATCTGTGTTTTGTAGTAATAAGTATTGTGTATAAGTTTAACAACATTTGGCCAGTTAAGGCAAACTAAAGTTAGAGAACGGAAATCAATTTTGGGACGTTCGGACGGACGGACGTACGTACGTACAGACGGACGGACAAGGGTAAAACTTAATGCCCCCTCCGCTACGGCGGGGGCATAAAAATGAAATGAATAGTTACACTTGTTGTTTACCTCTACTTGAACTATATCTGGTTACGGTAAATGTAGAACCTAATTTAGCTTATTTGTGATAAATAACGGAACTGTATACTATATTTTATGTTTTTGGCAGCACAAAGTTACTGTCGTCTGCCTGATACATTATGTTTTTACAGTGAAATAAAAGTTGTGATTTATCAAACGTGCCTTCAGTCTATTAGTCCCCCATGACGGACTGTAAAAAAAACTTTTAGCATCATTCTATGCATTTGTATTATCTGAGGTCTGGATGGTGGGAGGTCTTCATATCTATGTTATTTTAATTTGTTATGCCATTTTTCTCATTTTTTTTCTCCCATTGTATAATATTCTTTTATATTTAGTAAGCACCCCTATCATTCTCTATTCTTTTAATGTTTGCCTATTCTCTTTTCTGAAAACCCATACCAGAACCTCTTACATGTTTGGATGTTATTGCGTTTATCATCTCAACAGGGCTACAGTGACGCCCTAGCTTATAAAGCCGATCCTTACATGTGACAAAACGTATTTTCAATGGTGCATCTTGGGAAGGTTGTCGATGTCTCGTATGCACTAAAGTACAAAGTAGGAAAATCGTGAGATCTAAGAACTTCTTTGTTTTCCTGATATTAAAATCTAGACATCTGAAACCATATCTTTACAGATATATGATTGTAAATGATTTCCTATGATACAGGACTTGTATTAATGGAGTCCATATAATGTCAGTATGTCCGTCAACGTTGTTTTAATGCGTTAAGCCATGTTTAATCGATACATATTAAGTTTTACAGCATTTATGTTATGATTAGGTATTTTATATGAGACGAACTGTGATTGATAAAAGAAAAAGTTCAACAACAAAAAATTTAACGATTATAATCGTGTTAATATCTGAGAATTTTATCAAAGATACAAAAGGGGGATAACAAAATCGTAGGCCAAGGAACAATAGACAACGCTGTGGTCTTAAGAAAGAACACAAACAACAGTCAGTACCCCCCCCCCCCAAGAACACCACCACCACCACCAAATAAGGCTGGCTCAGCAGTTCCTGTTATAAAAAAGTTGTGGATGAGAAGAGATGAATATTATAAGAATCTGTTTCTTTTGTCTTATTGATCGTACCATCTTTCGAAAACGTTTTTCATAAAATCATAATCACTTTGCATTTATTTTACCAATAATCAAGAAATTTAAAATAGTATTTTAAACCATAAATTTTGCTGACATGCATTTTATGTATAGTAACTCTAGGAAGTTTAAGGGTAGCTCGGACAACACATTTGGACCTCAACAAATATGAAGAATACTTGAATTTGAAATATTCGCTATATCAGTGGTTTAAATATGAGACCTCGGTAGTAAAACCGCGGACTTCAGAAACACTTCCACATATATTTTGGTTATAAAATAAATCTATATAAACACAAGAAGATGTGGTTTCATAGCCGATGAATCAACTGTCCACCAGAGTACAAATGACTTCCCGATACGTTGAACTAAACGAACTAAATCAAATTTGTTGCAAACCAATTGAACCCTTGGACAATGTCCCTACATCTAAATGAGAAAATGTAATTGTGATATCTTGACAAAAAGCGTGTAGCTAATGAAGACCACCGAGTACACTTTTAAAAAACAAAGTCATCATTACAGAAAAACAAGTAACTATTCGTTACATTTCCTACTTACGAAAAATAGTCCTTTAAAATGATTGACAGTTTGTTTTTAGATTTGAGAAACTGTCGAATTTTCAGGAAAAAAATATGAAACACACCTTTCTCGCTAGTATAAAATAAATCGTCCATTTCAACAACGTCCAGTAACTGTAAAATACTTGAACAAAACAATAAAAGTTTCGATTGGTTGAAAAATAATCGAAACTGTAAAATACCAAGAACAAAACTGATTTTTTTTTTAAAGTTACTAAACAGTACAGGGTTGACTGTGAGGGAAAGTCTAAAGCACCAGGAAAATATTTGAAATATAACTGTAGCTCTAAAAAAGACCAATATAGTCGACTATACGGTAACGTCTTTTCTCGTTGTTCAAGGCCGTATGTTGACTTATAATTGCTTTTATCTTCGTCATTTCAATTCAGACATACATATTCATTTCACTAATGATATTTCCTTATAATTATCCGGGAACAGGTGGAGAAATGTAGTTCCCCTTTAACAAACACTATGTTTTTAAGATTGTTTTTCAAATGAAGACACAGCTGAAAAAAAAAGAAGAGATACACATTTGGAAATCACATGTTCGATAAGCAATAAGAAAAAAACGTCGTATCGTAACGAATTCGTGAATATTAAATGCAACGAAGATTCTCTTCTGAAAGCAAACGGATTAACAAAAGCATGAATAATGATGGAAACGGAGATATTCTTCTAAAAACAAAAAGAGTATCGAAAGGCAATGGCGACATTTGTCATAAATTATCATACTTACTATCTGGAGGACATTTTGAACCATCGAATCCACATTTTGGTGTATCGGGTGGAGCAGACGTTCGTCCACCCGCCCAGTGGATATGTTTACCCTCAACTTCTTTGTATTCCTGATCTTTACCAAAGTAGTTAGCAACAACCTGAAATAAAATGTTAACATACATATAACATACATGTAACATATATATAACATACATATAACATACATGTACATGTAACATACATGTAACATACATATAACATACATATACACGTAACATACACATAACATACATGTGTAAGATACTCTAAACAAATGAAAACATCACTTTATAAATGTCATGCGTCCGAAGCGTTTTTTTTTTTGGTTTACTTCATCGGTAACGCTCAAAGCCGAGGATGTATAAGAACCGAAACTGTTGAAGAGCTACATTGTATATGAGCAAAAAGATACATAAAATAATAGCCAAATCCATCTAAGGTCAACTTTGCCTGAGGGAGTTGAAACCTTAGTTTCTTACTAGTTTCTAAATTTATAAACGGACAAATTAAGAAAGGTTTGTTATAAATCATGCCAGTACCGAAGTCTTAACAAACTGTTATTCTTATTTAGTTTAGTTCTTTCTAGCCGATTTTGTGGCGATTGATTTTTTTTTCAAATTTCAATTTTCAGATAACTTATAGCCAATGAGGTTATATGATGACACGGAAAGACTTGGTAAAACTAATGTCATAATAGTTTTCATGAGCAACAATTGAATAATTTCAACCAAAAGAAAAAGATAAAACTCTTTTAACTATCTACATTATTTGAAGCAGTGGTTGTTTCAGTTTTGATCCTTAACGTATACATATATAATATTACCAAATTACGTACTATGCATTGCCATGAAGATTTGGGTTACATGTATATCTACATGTAAATGAGACAGAAATCCAACGACAAAAAATAAAAACAATAGGCATATACATATATATAATAGACATCCAGTTTGTTAAAATACAAAAGACTTTACAAAACTGCAGCTAACATTTCACAAAGGAAAGGTTTAACGGAAAGTGTAGCACGTTATTTTCTAACCGTGCAGATTTCTGGCTGATAAGATAATAGTTGCTGTTTAGGCAAATTTGTTAAAAAAAATATTAGCTGACAGAACGTGAAATATTTAACCTCATTTTGGCTGATTTATTAAAACAAATATCTTGGATTTCCAATTCTCAGATAGCCTAAAGCCAGCGATGTTATACGGTGATGTGGAAAGGCTTGATCTCGTTAATTTCATATTAATATGTTTTTTCTTTCTTAATCAGGCAGAACTAGTGTAACTTGTACTTTAGGCTTCAATTCAATACTGTGTAGAATTACTACTACTGCATGGTGAGAAGGATCATTCGCTGAATCAAGTCACGGATATTTTTTGCAATCGATCTTTTTGAAAATACCGTATATAACTGAATAAGTATACAAGGGTTGTATAACCAAATGGGACCTAGAACCAATAGCCAAATGTATCTAAGGTCAACTTTGCCTGAGGAAGTTGGAACCTTAGTTTCTATCTAAATAATTTCTGAAGTTAACAACAGAAAATTTAATAAATGTACTGTATGTTAAATCCTGTGAGTACAGACGAATTGACTACTGAGCTGATGCTTCTGTTCAAACGTGAAAAATAATAACAAAAAAGTCACTATTATCCATGATCCTTTCAAGACAGTAGCGAATGTTAAATAACAACTGGCGTAAAACAAACCAAGTAAAAGCCTAAAATTAATTTATGTTCTAGTTAGCAAAACAGAACATTAAGTTCGAAATCGCGAAATTGGTTATAATTTAATGTTTGTGTCCTCCCTTGCTAGCATGTAACATACTCTTGAAACCGAGTTTCGAAATATCTTCGTACCGCGGACCATTGAACATTCGACAAACACGTACTGTAGTTAACAACAATGAAAGATGTCGGTCCATGTACATGTACTTACCTCAAATTTATGAGTATGAGGATTCATATCCAATAAAGAATAATCTGCATTCCTATCACCATTCTTGTCAATGCTGACAGTGCCAGTGATTCCTGCAGACAAAAATTACATAATTTATGAAATTTACATAAAAAAAGAGAATCCAATTAATTAAGATTTGCTATTAATAATGTAAGTATAAACACGAAAATACAAAGAGAATGTCGAACGTATTCGACAGAGTGACAGTTCAACTTATTCAACAGAGTGACTGTTCAACTTATTCGACAGAGTGACTGTTCAATTTTTCGACAGAGTTAATGTTCAACTTATTCGACAGAGTGACTGTTCAAATTATTCGACATAGTGACTGTTCAAATTATTCGACAGAGTGAATGTTCAATTTATTCGACAGAGTGACTGTTCAACTTATTCGACAGAGTGAATGTTCAACTTATTCAACAGAGTGACTGTTCAAATTATTCGACAGAGTGACTGTTCAAACTATTCGACAGAGTGAATGTTCAACGTATTCGACAGAGTGACTGTACCATGTAACAATATAAAATCATATCTCTCTCTCTTTCTGTCTCTTACTCAGTGCAAACTTTATTTCATTCATAAATGTATACAAACCTGAAAATAAGAACTAAAGATGTTTTTCTGTAATTTAAAATGCACAATAATCTGAGCGCAAACAGAAAGTGACAGCCCGACAATTAAAAAAATCGCGTTCACGTTTCAACTAAACTTCATAAAGTTCTAGTCCAAACACTAAACCATTCTTTAGTTCATAATCTGAGTAATATGAAACAGAAGATCCATGAACGGGCTAATGACAAGAGAACAAGAGAATACAACCACTCTGTTAGTTGGTGTGTGAATTTGCTTCAAGTGTCAATTTGAAAACGGGTATATATTGTGTGCCCTGTTAGAGTAAATGAAAAATTATACACTGGCATTGAACATTTTTAAATGACAAATAGGAAATTTTATTGTGTTTATTGTACTTTAGAAAAGTAACTTAATGTCTTCATAAGCTTCAATATATTTACGATAAATACCCTCAAAGGTTCTATTCCACATCCGGTTTGTTATCTCAGCGCCATCTGTGATTGATTTATTGGCAGCTAAGGTCTCGTTTAATGCAAGAGCATACAAAATAACAGCATCATGAAAGGCACCAACAAAGCTGTTGACCTGAAATAGGAAAATGTGATTGACATTGTACTCTGAATTTATTAGCATATTGACGTTTTAATGAATGAAAAAAAATGGAAAACCATTGAAAAGTCATTAATTATGTAATTTTCAAAGCGCCATTTCTATACTTTAGAACGACAGTTTTTCTGAGTTTTTTAATATATAAACTTGACAAATGTAGGCACCAATCGTTCATACAAAGGCATACAAATGAAGTTTGTGAGTATTCTGCGTTTATCTTAAGCGAGCGGTAATATCAAAATTATTGTTAAAATCACGGTTCATTTTCGGTCATCCCGGGTCAATCCATGTCCATTTGTAAAATCACAAAGAAAACATTTTAGAATGATAAATCAAAACGTTGAATTGTAAAAGTGAGCTAAAAACTATGTATCTAACAGTAAGGAAGTATCTACCAGTAAAGGAAACGTAATATTTTATTTCTACTCAATTTTCTATTGTTTATAAAGCTCGAACAAATACATTTTACATTTTCCTACAGTGTACGTATATTACATATTTACTCATAAAAAACTTAAAGTCCGCAGTCCGAAAGACTTCAATATCAAGTTTGTGAGTAAATTGCTCCAGTTTGTACATCAATAAAACTGATGAATGGTGCTTTCAATCTTAATATTTCTAGAACTTTATCAGTTTGTTTTTAAAACAGTCGATGTTAATTAAATCTAATCGGGTTTTAAGAATGTTTCTTATACAATGTATCCCGCATGTCATTTTTCTTTTTCGTACTTACGACATAGTTTTCTTATTTACGTAGTATATTAAACATTGAACATTCATTTTACAGAATAACGATTAGTGCGTAATTAGATATTTAAAAAATGAAAACAACACGTTTAATAATTTCATGCTTCCGAAGCGCTTTTCTGGATTTACCTTCATCAGGAACGCTCAAAGCTGAATATTTGAAAGCCGAGTATGAATAGGAACCAAAACAGTTGAAGAGCTATATGACCAAAAAAAATACATAAAAAATAGACAAATCTATCTAAGGTCAACTTTGCCTGAGGGAGTTGAAACCTTACTTTCTTTATAATTTCAAAATTTATAAGCGGACAATTTTAGAAAGGTTTGTTATATTAGGTGATTAAGTTTGAATGATGGAAAATCGTTCCATGTAACCAAAACTAGTAACCGACTAGAAAAAAATAAGAAGAACTAAAATCATGTACATGTAATAAGTTATCAATGGTATATTTAAACCTTGTATAAAATGTATCTTTTTATTTATGATTAATAGTTAGTTAATATATTAATGGTATATGAAAACAGAAAGAGCGAGTCCATAAATATATATTTTACCATGAAAAACGCCAGTTTTATGATGCTTGCAAGATGTGACTTGACAAAAACAAACCAATTTATTCCATGCGTCATTTAAAAAGACAAATTTATTTGAAATGTAAAAATTAGCGTCAAATTACTCGACTAATCAGTGCCAATTTCAGTATTTGACGGAGTCCTGGAAGTTGTCGTTTGATTGCTTGATTGCTGACCGTTTAAGTAATAAAACAAATGCCAGACAAGTAATGAGAACAAGGCTGTCACAATCCGAAAAAATTAGCGTTTTGTGTCTCAATTTGTCATATTTCACATATACCGAACAAACACTATCGATTTAACAATTTCAAAGAATTTAGCTTATCGGAATTGTCTGTTATAGCTGGAGGGAAAGCGTATAGATCAAACGAAAAATAACTATAAAAATATAAAAAAATAATTGTAAAACCATTGTTCAGTTTGATAGAGCGGTATTACAAACGAAAGGTTATATTGCTTAGTGGAAAAGAAGGAAATTTCACATTCTAATCCCTAATCTTGTCAGGGCCTTTGATAAAAAAAATATATCTAATCCTGTCAGGTCTTTTGATAAAAAATATGTCTAGTTAACTTGAGATCAGTCATTATTTCTGAAACAATAAATTTTAGATTTTGCACAGTACAATTACAGTAAATGTTCCTTAAAAACAAAGTAAGAATTGACTATTGTTTTATTGGCGTTCAGTGGCAAATATTTCGTCATTATCAAGAACGACAGCAAAAAAAAAAATATGACGACCTTGATTTACAACGGGACTTTCAACTGACACGGGAAACAGTTCTCAACAGAACCCTCAAACCGGGATTTACAACGGGACTGACACGGGAAACAGTTCTCAACAGAACCCTCAAAACGGGATTTACAACGGGACTGACACATGAAACAGTTTTCAACAGAACCCTCAAACCGGGATTTACAACGGGACTATCTACTGACACGGGAAATAGTTCTCAACAGAACTCTCAAACCGGGACTTACAACGGGACTTTCAACTGACACGGGAAACAGTTCTCAACAGAAACCTCAAACCGGGATTTACAACGGGACTATCAACTGACACGGGAAACAGTTCTAAACAGAACCCTCAAACCGGGACTTACAATTGACACGGGACACACTTCTAAACAGAACCCTCAAACCGGGATTTACAACGGGACTTTCAACTGACACGGGAAATAGATCTCAACAGAACCCTCAAACCGGGATTTACAACGAGACTTTCAACTGACAGGGGAAACAGTTCTCAACAGAACCCTCAAAGAGTTGTTGTAAGGGTTGAGTAAAGTGCAGTGTTGATCGATGATTTTTGAAAATTTAAAAAAAAAATGTTAAAAACTTTGAACAGCTGATACATAACCAAACAGAACAAAAAATATAGCCAAACCCGGACAAATCTGTTAAGTATAATACTCTGACAATGCGAACAATAAGATGTTTGAAATTACTACGGATATCAAGTTGTTGGCTTATAAATAATATCGCAATCTGTGTCTCAGTACAAACAGAAACAACAGCTTCAATAAAAAAAAATATGAGAACATAAAATAAACGTATCAATCATAGTAAAACCTTAACCGCCTGTTTTTGACACACATCACACCATCAGATCGACATATATTCTGTAAGTGTATTAAATATCAATATTGAACTCGTGTAATTAGATTTTTTGAGTGATGACATTGATATCCCTGAAGTCGTACCAAAAGCACACAATGTCATTGTATAATTAACATGACAAATGATTTCAGGGACTTTTGAGCACGCGCTGGTCGCCGCGAGATTCTGCAATTAATCTCACGTGACAGACAATTCTACTTGGTGATGACAAATTGAACAACGTTGCTCTTTGCTACTGACGAGTTCTGCACACAATTCTCAAAAGTCATTATTTATTTTCAATTCCTGAAGAAATGCAAGTGACTTACAGTTGGCCCAAATTTACCGTGTAAATTAATGCAATGTACATCAATCAAGTTACTTTAAAAGTAGCCAAATCAGTTATTTCTAAACTTTAACGAATCAAGTTTATTCCCATAAATTATTATTATTTTGATTGTAATTATCCTTTTAAAACGAGATGTAATTGTTATTTCTGTTCCGTGAATTTTGTTAAAAAATGAAATAAATAAAAAGAATGTGGGGAATACACCTATGAAGAAAGAATCCAAGCCTTACAAACCTACCGAAAATTAAGGAGTTACAGTCGATATTATAATAATACAGTTGTAATTTCCTTTCGATATGGTTTAAAATTTATGTATAGTTGAGCTCCTTACAAATATTTTCAACGGTAAATCTAGACTTAGTGTAAATACTTGACTCTAATTTGACTTAATCGTTTTTCCTCATAGGATATTTGTCGTGTAACAATATCGTTCTAAAGTTGATATAAGTATTAAAGGTTCTAGACAGAAAGAGAAAATAACACGAATCTTGGATTAGGGAATTTGATCTTAAACGATCAAAAACCAATTAAAGACGATAAAGCAATATTATAGACACCGTGATTTGCCACGTGAATGTCGCATTTTATAAATTAGCTTTCAGACCAACAATTTCATCCGTAAAGACAAATGTCCATTTAAAGCGCTAGGTTGAGAGAGATATTTTAATAAATCAGTATTATGTTTGTAATATACAGATTCATCAATACTGTTTAAAGCATCCATGTGAAGCATAAATGAATTAATCTGTATCATGTAGAAGCTTTCATTTTATTTTTGAAATTGATCGAAACAAACATTCCAATGATTTCCGATAACCTCGGCCAACCCATTTAAGTAGTATTACGTTTTACTGTTTTGCTTAAGAAAAAGAACGCAATGATTCATGCTAACAATTCCTGAAATCTACGCAAAACAAAAAAAAAAAAATTTCCCTACCTCTTCTTCTCCATAAGTAAAATTGACATTTTTCTCCTTAGCTCTCCTCTTAACTTCCATGGAAAAGTTTTTATATTCTTTACTAGTTGGTTTTCGTAAGGTAACTGTCATCAGGGCTTCGTACGCCTTCATAGCTTTTTTATTTCTTTCATCCGTGTCGCCGGCTCGATACCATGGCTTCTCACTGTCATTCTTGCTACAAACCGAAAAAAATACATCGAGATTACAATAACCGTCTGTAGTTGAATCAGAGATTAGCATATAAACTATGCTTGTACAATTAGATCGTCCTGAATATGCATGAAATATTTGCCACTGGACGTTAAGCAACCAACAATCAATCAATTAGATGTTAATTCTAAATATATTACAAAGGATGACTGGGTATAGGAATATTGTTATATTGACCTGTCCAGTTGTATGACCTACCATGATGCCCGTTTGGCTGTGCAGAATGTGTACATAAGAACGAACTTCCGGTAGGGATAGGAAAGATATATTCGAGAGTGGCTTTCTGAACGTTAACATGCAATGCAAGATATCAGCCCCTATCCGACATTGCCTTGTTCTTTTGTGTCAATGTAAATATTTCGCCCTTCATCCTAGTCGACAATCTTTGCAGAATCTACCTATCAAATTTATATTGTTTCATATATTATCGTCAAGAAAATGAATGAGATATACGCCACTGGACTTTTGGCTAACATCAATGAAATCAATCTATTTTGGAGCTTAGATCAGAGTTTCTATAACTGTTTATTTGATATTGTACAAAAGTCCGGGTTCACGTGAAACATCAGATCTGTTAATAATCACGAACATGTGTTTTGACATTCCGCACACTCCGGTAGATTATACAATCTTGATGAAATGCACCGAAATCTGCTCAGGTTTGTCAACTGGTATTTTGATCATTGTGTCGCTGTCTTGTTGATGTATAATATCCCATCTAAATATAAGGAGATGTGGTATGATTGCCAATGAGACAACTATCCACCAAAGTTCAAATCTTTTTTTTTTCATATCGTGTACGTTTACACCTACTGTAAGGACAATAGATTTCGGGTGCAATCCATTTATTTAAGAATTGACATAAACGATCAAAGAAATATTCATCAATAATTCGTGTATATGCAACCATGTAACCATTAATTCTCCTTGCAGGAACATTCGGCAACAATGAAAGTTATCAATGCCCACGTATAGATGTCTTTCTAAATAGTTTTAAGAAAATACAAGAGGTAACAAAAACAATATCATCTTTCTCCCCCCCCCTTTTTGGCCTTAACATGTACAAGGATAACAATTATACCTGTCAGAATATAAACCAGAAACGCATTTTATTGATTTACATAATGTACATTGTAGTGTATTTTGAGATCAATAGCTGAAAATGATTATAATAAATGCTACAAGATAGAAAATTTCATCGAAAAGAAATAAATCAAATTTATATCAAACTTTAAGCTGATGCAGATCAAACTTTTAGCTGACGCAGATTCAAATCGTACTAGTAAAACTGTGACAAATGACTTTGTAATTGGCCATTATTTTAATGTTGGTTACATCATTTCCTTCAGTAATTGGGAGGATAAAAGTTTCAATTTCGCTTGTAATCGTGAATTATTTTAAACATCAAAGAATATTGAAATCTAGACAACGGCAATTACATTGGCAATAATACGACTAACATGTCAGCCTTCAAATTTAGAATTTCCGAATAATAAATAAGACCTTTCGGTACTTCTCTAGTTATTTGCAATTTGTTACAATTACATATTTTCAAAGTACAAGTTCATCACAAAAGCCGTAAAGTTTTTAACGAATCTATCATTGTCATTCCATATTGGGAAACATTTAACAGATTGTCTTTTTTTGTTCTTTTGCAGTGAGCAATTTTGTCATTCAAATTTATATTAAGCAGCTGTATCAATGAATATAGTTATATTATTTCGAACTCCTGTTGCTTCATTCGAAAAAAAACAAACTTATAATTGTTCGGTTTATAATTAATACTGAGGAAATGTTACTGTACTCTAAGATTAAATTTGTACAGTACGTATTTACTTATATCCAGATTATCATTGAATATGCCATACAAAAAAATGGAAACATATTCATTTTACGTTAACGGACTATATCTATAATAAAAAAAAAAAGGTTCGTGTTAAAATAAATAGATGAACCTATTAACACTCTTACAGCAGACCTAAAGGATAAACACTGTACGGGAATATCAGACCGATCGATTCCGAACACGATATAGGATGCAATCGGCACAGACAATCACATTTTAGACCAACGCTTCATTTGACAAAGATACATGTAGCTTTTTAATAGCATCCCACACTAGTAGGACTAATTAAGCAACTATTTCTGGCCTTAATATGTGAAAACTATAATAATTTTCACTTGGAAAACCTGCTGACATTTGAAATCAAATTAAATTCCCTTTTTTAACAATGATAATATATATATTTTGTAGTCATGTGTAATAATTCAATGGATGTCTATTAATCTATTCACTAGACTGCAGGTTTTATAATACCATATTTGAAATGAGGTGGAAAATCACCACAAACTAAGTTCAAATAGGTTAAAATGTGAATTGGCTTAAAAAATATAATCCTATTGAATTCAATAACATGGCGATCGAGGCTGCAGAGAATGTAATCTGTTGAAGATAAACATCATGTGTCAACGTTTCGCTTATCAAAATTTGACAAAGCGCCATTCTTCTTTTTTTAGTAAACCAACCAAGGAAATTTCTATCTCCAAATTTTTATTAGTGCTTATCATTTCGACAAAACCCGAAAGCCTCGAAAGGTTGTTAATACACATAGTAGAACGGGGTGATGTCAGATCCTTATAAGGGAGCAACCATTTGATTTTTATGGGGGGGGGGGGGGGGGGGGGCTTTAGGATGAAAAATTTTGTCCTGCATATTTTTTTAGTTGTAATCTCTGTCCTGCCTTTTTATTTTTCACTCTATTCGGTCCTGCCTTTTTTTTTATTAGTTTATCCTGAATTTTTTTACACAAATTGTCATCCTGCCATTTTTTTTTTTACCAAGTTGCTCATCCTGCCTTTTTTTACTCAAAACTCCTGTCCTGCCTATTTTTTTCAAATTTCATCCTAGCCCCCCCCCCACCCCCCCCCCCCCCCCCCCCCCCTAAAAATCAAATGGTAGCTCCCTAAGCGAAGCATGGACACAGGATCTGTTTTGTAATCAGATTGTAGAGAATGCATTCTTATTGTTTTAATTTACAAATAAACAAAAGTTATGATGCACAAGTTGGAACTGGAGTTTGTCACACAATATGATATATAAGAAAAATATTACTTTGCAATGTGAGTGAATATAATTAAGACCGAACAGTAAAAAAGTGTCGAAGACCGGCTCCGATTTAGAGATTGGGAATGTTTCGAGGTTTAAGTTTCAAGTTCAAATAACGTTGTTTTGAGGTTGTTTTTTTTCGTGAAAAAAAAGATTTTTGAATTAAGTAAAAATCGCAAACAAAACATTTCGCGCTTTTTGTCTTTAAGAAAATTGTTTTAATGAGAAAATAACACTACGTATATATATTCATACACCTTCTCCACAAAGTTACTTCATTTAACATCATTATTACCCCCTAATATAAATGAGTAATGTCAGTCAGGTTTCGCTCCGGGTTTAGACGTTTACTCTACTTAATTTAAACTCGGAATAAAATAACATAATCTGAACTGGGTAAAACGATAAAACTTGTCATATCAGTATCGAAGCACTGACTGCTAGTGGAATAAAAGTATTATCAGTAAATTATCTATTTTACAAGCAACAGTTCAGACGGATTAAATATCACTACCGATCGACAAAATGACAAAATTATTCAGGAAAGGCGTGTTAACTGCCCTCTAATGTTTAAATCGGTTTAATGAGAATGTACCAATTCATTATGTCAAAAAATGAATAAAATGAGATGCAAGGTGTAATTTAAGTAAGCTTCAATCAAACGAAATACGTAAAGAAATCATAAAAACAAACTGCGGTACCATCCGTCTGTAAAAGCACCCAGAACAGATAGAGGTAACACAGTCTTTAAAAGCACCCAGAACAGATAGATGTAACACCGTCTTTAAGAGCACCCAGAACAGATAGAGGTAACACCCGTCTTGAAAAGCACACAGAACAGATAGATGTAACACCGTCTTTAAAAGCAACCAGAACAGATAGAGGTAACACCCGTCTTTAAAAGCACCCAGAACAGATAGAGGTAACACCCGTCTTGAAAAGCACACAGAACAGATAGATGTAACACCGTCTTTAAAAGCACCCAGGACAGATAGAGGTAACACCCGTCTTGAAAAGCACACAGAACAGATAGATGTAACACCGTCTTTAAAAGCACCCAGACAGATAGAGGTAACACCCGTCTTGAAAAGCACCCAGAACAGATAGAGGTAACACCCGTCTTTAAAAGCACCCAGAACAGATAGAGGTAACACCCGTCTTGAAAAGCACACAGAACAGATAGATGTAACACCGTCTTTAAAAGCACCCAGATAGACAGAGGTAACACCCGTCTTTAAAAGCACCCAGAACAGATAGAGGTAACACCCGTCTTGAAAAGCACACAGAACAGATAGAGGTAACACCGTCTTTAAAAGCACCCAGACAGATAGAGGTAACACCCGTCTTTAAAAGCACCCAGAACAGATAGAGGTAACACCCGTCTTTAAAAGCACCCAGAACAGATAGAGGTAACACCCGTCTTGAAAAGAACACAGACCAGATAGATGTAACACCGTCTTTAAAAGCACCCAGACAGATAGAGGTAACACCCGTCTTTAAAAGCACCCAGAACAGATAGAGGTAACACCCGTCTTTAAAAGCACCCAGAACAGATAGAGGTAACACCCGTCTTGAAAAGCACACAGAACAGATAGATGTAACACCGTCTTTAAAAGCACCCAGACAGATAGAGGTAACACCCGTCTTTAAAAGCACCCAGAACAGATAGAGGTAACACCCGTCTTGAAAAGCACCCAGAACAGATAGAGGTAACAGCCGTCTCTAAAAACAAGCAGAACAGACAGAGGAAACACCCGTCTGTAATAGCACCCCCTCCCCCCCAAAAAAAACCCCCCAGAAAAGTCTGTCTGTAAAAAGCGCTCACAACAAACAAAAGTGATATCCGTCCTTAAAAGGCG